GATGCAATCAGCTGGTTTTCCTTAGATAGAAAACTTTGAATCAATCTGACTGGATGATCTGGTGAACTGGAAAGTGACCTGAGATGATGTGAATTGGAGCTATAGAAATAAACTGAATAGAATTGAAATGAATTGAACAATGGAGGAAACCTCAGATTCGATCCAGGCTGCGATCCAATCTCCAGTCAGAGATAAACCAGTTTACACCTTGATTATTGATCAATAGAGGATTCTTACCTACAGGTGAATTCAGACACTATGGTCTCTTCCCTCCAGCATGAAGCTAGCTCCTTCTCCCTAAAGCTCTAAGCTAACCAGGCCTTCAGATGAAGAGCAACCATCATAACTCTACCAGCTCAGGTCCTTTTAAAGCCTTCAGATGAAGAGCAATCATCATCACTCTACCAGCTCAGGTCATTTTAAAGCCTTCAGATGAAGAGCAATGATCATCACTCTACCAGCTCAGGTCCTTTTAAAGCCTTCAGATGAAGAGCAACCATCATCACTCTACCAGCCTTTGTCCATTTAAAGCTTTCAGACTCACCTTGGTGAACCTGAGCTCCATGGCAGGAACTCCTGCAAACGCAGTGAAGCTGTAGGCTCCACTGTTCAGGTACAGAGGCTTCATGCTGAGGAGACACAACAACATCATCTTCATCATCATCATTATCATCATCATCATCATCCTCATCCTCCTCTCCATGTCATTGATGTGTTCTGTTCCTCACATCCTCCAGCTGCCTCCATCTCTTTCCGCCTGGCTGTAGATGGTCTGACCCGCATGTTTGGGATGTTCCACCTGCAGAACCAGAACACGTCTTAGAACAGGTGAGAACTGGTGTTCAGACCAACATCTCAGGATCATCCTGAATGACCTTACTTCAAGGCTGTAGTTTTAACTGATAAATGATAAAAGGCCCGTACTTGATTAGCCCCTCACCCAGTCTCTAAGCAATTTCCCACTGATGGCGGTGAGCTTTATTGTATCCACAGATGTTCTGGGGCAGAACAAGAGCTGCTGTGTTATCTGCTGGTGTTTCACCAGAGGACTTAATGGCAGAGACAGATTTTTGAACCAGCAACCCAACCCTTACTGAATAAAGCCCCGCCTCCTGATCCGCCGTCACCTCAGACACAACTAAAGGGACCAGAGCGACGGTCCCTGTGGAACTACTGGTCTGTTCTATAGAGAACTGGAACCAGCCAGTAAGAACTCAGCTTGTTCACCTGTTTGATGGCTGCATCCAGCAGGTCAACCAGTAGAGGACTGGTGTGGGCTGACAGGTTATCATCACCTGTGGAACAACACATCTCTGATTGGCTGGGAGAGAAAAACAAGCTCTCTGATTGGCTGGAAGCTCAGTTTACCCATGATGGCCTGGTCCAGGCTGAAGTAGGCCACGGCCTTCAGGTGGAGCATGGACAGGTAGCTCTGAGGAGAACAGGTAAAGGTGAGTCAGCGTTCAGTTTGAAGATCATCTAGAAGGTTTGTGGGTGAAGAACCTCCAGCCATTCCGTGGCTCCAACGTTCCCAAAGTCTCCAGCGTCCCAGCTGACGAAGAGCAGACTGCGTCTGGGACTGAAACCTGAAGCATCCATCAGGTGTTTCACAATAAAATCACCTCTAGGGGAACTCCACCTGTCTCTGGGGGCGGGGCTTACCGTTCTTCACCATGGCTGAGAAGGTCCGAGCCAGCTCCAGCAGGATCGCCGTTCCCACTCCGGACTTCACAGCTCCTGGACCTAAAGAGTCCCTCTGAGCTCCCAGTATGATGTACTGGTCTGAGCCAGAGGTTGAAGGTTTAGAGCCGATGGGGGAGGATTCACCTGTCCAGTGATGTCAGAGCATACCTGGCTCAACGCGGCCCTCCAGGGAAGAGAAGATGTTGTTGAGCAGAACCGGAGTCATCAGGTTATGGACGGACATCTGGACCTTCCGCCTGGAGCTGAACTCTGGACCGAGGACGCAGCGGACGTACGGCAGCCGACCCCGCCAGGACGGAGGGCAGGCGGGACCTGACAGCTGGCTGAGGAGAACAGGAGGGCGGGCAGGTAATAATCCCACCTGGGCAGATAAAGGAGGGGGCGGGGCTTACCTCAGCAGCTTGGCGGCCACCGTGGCGGTGATGGGCAGGGCTGGGATCAGCGGCAGGCCGGAGGACGGGATGGGAGGGAACTTTGAGTGGTTAAAGGAGGGGAAGCCGGGGGTGAAGGGGTCCCCGGACCCCAGGTGGACCTGCAGAGGGAGGCTCTGATTGGTCAGGAGCTCAGGTGAGTCTCAGGTGAGTCTCAGGTGAGTCTCAGGTGAGTTTAGGCGTGTTTGTGTTACATGTTCAGAAACGGCGGTGTGAGCGTTCAAGCCGAGGCGGCGGGGGTCCTGTGGCAGGTCAGCAGGGTCCGGATAGATCAGAACCCCACCCGCTCCGTTCCTCTCAGCCAACCACACCTTCTCAGCATAACTGACTCCGCCCCCTACCCGCATCACCACCACGCTGCTGGCCGCGGACACGCCTACGCTCCTCAGCCAGTTAAAGTCCTCTGGACGGCCGTAGTTGGCATAGACCACGCCCCCCTGCAGACAGGACGCCAGAGATGACTGTGGTTACCATGGTGACCAGCGCCTCCTCCAGGTGGTGGTCCTACCGTGTAGTTTCCTGCGGCGCTGTAGGGGCAGTAATCGATTGGGTTCAGAGGAATCTGCTCTAGGATCTGACCTGCAGGGTCCACCAGCTGCAGGGAGCTCCTCTGAGTCCTGCAGGCAGAAACACGTCAGTGAGCCGCAGGAACTAGACTCTGGATTAAAGACTGTTTTAATGTCATGGATTCTTTTAATCTTGTATAGTCTGTGTCTGGTCCAACGCATGAGTACGGACACACACTTGTTCTATCATGCAGTCTGCCCATTCTTAAGCTAGAGATCTTTTCAGAGGTATTTTCTGATCCTATGCCTGTAATATTTCAGGTTGCTTCTTAATATATTCCAGTTAAATCCACTGCCGCTGCTACGTACTGTAGCATCACTAACCCTCCACTGCTGCTCAGTTTCTGCAGCTTTCACTCATAACTCCATTATTCCAGAGTCTGTGCAGCACAGAGGAGCTCATGGTTTCCCTCCGTCTGTCATTAGTCTGTATTAGAAACTGTAGCATCATTAAAAACTAAACAACATTAAAGAAGATCAGATTAAATGGACTAGATATCAGTCAGCTAGCATACATTGGATAAGTCATGGATACGTTTGATATAAGCTATGAACACACTGACGAACATGGAAACACTCTGGAACACGTCAACATAGGGAAAGTATCCAGTGGCGGATCTAGACCAAATGTACCAGGGGGCCAGGAGGGGGCCAGCGTGTTTTCCTGGGGGTCCAGAAAAGCAGGAAATAAAAAACAGGGCAGGAGATTTTATATTAAGAGAGCTGCATGAAGGGACATTTATTTTCAATTAGGTTCAATAAAAATTGTATTTCTTATGAAGTCAATATACATTCATAATTTAGGAATTTTACAGATTTATTTACTTAAGTTAGAATTACCATTTTCTATTAAATCTGAATTAGAACTCAGAAAAACTGATAAATTCAGCTATAAAAATCAGAGTACCTTTTTTTATTTGTTAAGAAAAAAAACATTTAGCAGATGAAAAATGGGATCCTATCTCAGTACGACTGAAGCTATCACCTTACTGTTTTTAAATAATTAGTAAAGGAAAAAATGAAATAGATCCAAAAGATGTAGCTTTAGACTGGTTCAGGTCATATTTAGAGACTGAACTTCCTGGTTCAGCCTTGGTGACCCTGTTTCCTCCTCTGCTCCTCTCTCATGTGGAGCATCCTCCTCCATCTCAAGTCTCCAAATGGTTCAAAATGCCTTTTAACAGGCAAACGCTGCTATAAGCTCATCTCCCCCATTCTAGCCTCTGTCCACTGGCTGCCATACATTTAAGAATTCATTTTAAATTTCTTTTATTTGCTTTTAAATCTCCGCATGGCTTTTATCCACCGTACCTCTCTGAGCTTCACAGCCTTGTAGACCATCTGGTTCTCAGGTTCAGCTGCTCCTGATGGAGCCTAAAACTAAGCAGAAGATCAGAGGGAACCGAGCTTCACTGCTGCAGCTCCAACGCTGTGGAATAACCTCCTTTAGAACATCATGCAGGCCTCTAGTCTCACTGGTTTATCAAAAACATTATTGGAGGGTTTTGGTCAATTTAATGCCAATCAATTTTCCAGATGTTGAAGGTTCTACGTTCATCTAATCTAATAAGATCCCAGAAGGAACATCAGGAGAACATCCAGCTATCATGGAGTCCAGGAAGGAGAAACTCCAGAACCAAAGAAGACCTGCTGAAGGTTCTGCTGGATCTGATAGGAACCATTGAAAGCAGGGAACCATGGTAACGACTGAACGAAGGGAACCAATCAGAACAGCTGCTGACCCACCTGATCCAGGACCAGCCACCGCAGGTAGAGGTCAGGTGGAAGCTGGACCAGAACGTTCTGACCCAGTCCCTGTAGACCCAGCGGTTCTCCAGCAGGGGGCTCACCTGTCGGGGAACTGCAGCGTGGCGTACAGAGACTCGGTCCAGGTGTGGTCCATCGGCAGCTTCCTGAAGCGTCTCAGGATCTCTGAGGCCAGAGCCGTTCCCTCTGAGGAACCTGGAGGATGAGCCGCTCTGCTGACCCGACTGACAGGAAACACATCCACCAATCACAGAGCTCCAACCAGCTCCCAGGTTTCCATGGTAACAGTTCCTGTTTACCTGACAGAGCTGTGGAGATCTTCCTCCTGCAGCTGCCTCCTCATCATGTCCCGTAGCTCCCCCAGGTAAAGCTCCGCCCCTCCATCTGCAGGCCGGTTAGCCCCGCCCCCCGGCTGCTTGCTCTCCTCCCCCAGCCCCCCCTCTGGGGAGCAGTGGGCCCGCCCACTGAACACAGCGTAGGCCAATAGGAACGCTGACAGAGGAAGACGTCGGTCACATGATCAGGTCTTCATCAGCTGATCTTCATCAATGATCTCACCTGCAGTGAACGTCGCCGCTCCATAGACACCCAGCCATGCACAGCGCCTCCTGTTACCATGGAGACACCTCCGCTCCCACCCTCTGATGTCACAGACTGGCCCCGCCTCCTCCTCGGTATCTAACGCCTCAAAGTTTAGCTCCTCCCTCTGGGCTCCACCTTCCTCATCAGACGAGTGATGAAGAGACACTGAGGAAGACTACAGAGAGAACAACGTAACCATGGTTACAGGACAGAGGGGCGGGGCTTAACCCTGTAGGGACTCACCTGTGTGAGGTGAGCACTCAGGGTTCCCATGATGCTCTGCAGAGAGAAGACTCAGAATCAACCTGAGCTGGAAACCAGTTCTTTACTGGGTGGAGGTCAAAGGTCAGCTGAACCCTACAGGTCCTCCATTGTTCCTGTGATCGACTCTGTCTGGTCAGTACAAAGCTGAGGTAGAGGCTCCGGCATGCTGTGGGTCTATTCTAGTGAAGAACTTTTCCTTCAGTCTATCACTAAAGTTTTATTTGTGTTATTTTATATAATTTATATTATTATATATGTCATATTCTTTTTGTTTGTCTGTTTTTATAAATGGTTTGCTCTGTGTTGCTTTTCTTTTCCCCTTATTGTTCAGCACTTTGATTGAATGGGATTTAACAGCAAAGTTTTAATTTTCATTATCAGTGGACTTCATCACATTCCACCTGGTCAGGATGGACCGATGGCTTCAACATCCAGTCCATCCTCTGAGGAGCTGAGTCAGCAGATACCTGCCCGTCCTCAGGTGGGAGGGAGAACCTTTGTTGTCATGGTAACGACATACAACCAAATGTGGTCTAGCAGCAACAGCATCACTCCTGGTAGGAAAAAGTTTCATGGCAGGTTCAATGGAAACATTTGAGTGAAATAAACTTTTTTAAATCATCCTCATTGGGCTCCCTGCATTAAGACAGGAGATCTTCATCTACATCCTGTCCACTACAGGGGGGTGCTGATTGGTTGA